GTCAATACATTCGTTCTAAATTAATGTTCATTATCTTTCCTTCTTTTTCTCGTTCACACTCTATCCTTGGGTGCGACTCATAGAACAATTTCGAATTCAACACATAAGAATTGTGTGGTTTGTATGTAAAAGTTGAAGTTTGTGTTAGATATCTAATACATGTGAATTGTGTGGTTTGTATGTACAAAATTGAAGTTAGGTTGTTAGATATGCACTACATAAGAATTGAGTGGAATGTATGTAAAAATGGAATTGAAGTTTAGGTATTAGATATGTAATACATATGAATTGAGTGGAATGTGTAAGAATTGAAGTTTAGGTATTAGATATGTAATAAATAAGAATTGGGTGGTTCGTATGTAAAAATTGAAGGTGTTTTAAATAATAATAATAATAATAAGTAAAATGTAATACATAAGAATTGTGTGGTTTGTATGTAAAATTGAAGTTATAAGTGATAGATATGTAATACATAAGAATTGAGAGGAATGTATGTAAAATTTAAAGTTTAGGTGTTAGTTTGAATTAGACTTATAATTTTGTTAATTTATTATACTAATACATATTGCGTAATTTTTAATTTGAAGAGGTCATTCCACTTGCTACCACTGCTAGAGCATCACCAATGGATCCGACATATTTTTTAGGTTCGCAACAGATACCGGTTCGGTGATATTTTCACAATGGTCTGTGGGAAGAAGAGCGGCTTATCTAGGTTGGGGAGGAGGTTTGGGCACAGATGACCAAATCATGGGCATCTTCTGATTGTCAGGGGAAGAGTGAAAGTAACCAACAGAACAAGAGGACCGAGGGGGCCAGAGCTTCCACACTCCACATTAGATGATCAGTTCCAGATAGAGCACTATTAGAGAATGGTAAGCTTATCTGGCGTATCACCGTTATGACTGAGCTGCCTCATCAGCTACGTGAGGGCTGGCAAAGTGTCGAGGTCACAATAGCGCGACTGGTCGAGCAAATTTTATATCGTAGTGTAAATGGGTCTCTGAGGGGAGGGGGAGGGGGGTGATGATGTCCAATAGGGTTTTTTGTTCTTTTTTTTAACAGTATTTTTACCTTATCCTCTGTATGTATATTCTATGTTTAGATAGACACTTTTAATGATTTTAAGTAATGTTTGTTAAATTTAATTTGTTTTCGTTGTCGATACATGTTTGTGCAACATGTTATGTGCTGTGTTGGTGATCAGTAATTCTTCTGATATTTCTTGTGTACATGTTGTAAAAGCATGATCTTTATTATATATCCTCTTCAGCGAAAACATTGAACACAAATGATAACGTAAGTTCGCGTCTGCAAACGAAGGATGCAAATTTCTAGTTAATGTTTACGTCAGCATGGTCACGTTGAAACTAGCTAATTTCAACAATTTCATAGGCGCAAACATCGACATAATTTGTTTGCGTTAGCAAGGGTCGATGTAATTACATTTGCAACACTTGTTTTGGCACGGATCATATTTCTTATGCAAATCTGCCGCTAATACTGCTTTGTGTTAGATTATTTACATATTACAACACCAATTTGAAAAAATAATAATAATAACTTGTAGCATCTCCGAAGAGAACAGGTCTAACCATCGTAAAATAATAGCCTTCAAGACGAATCACATTCAAATTCAAAATGACTAACCTAATCATCTTTAATGACATCCATGACCACCGACCTACACCACATTATCCGCACCATCGTGTCATCTAACCCTAACATCCATTAGGAAGACAAGCTTGGGCCAACAACAACACTAATACTAATAGCAATCTACATTTATTTATTGCATATCAATACTATTTTAACCTTTAAAAGTGAAATACACCTTTGCATGCATAGAAAAGTTGACATATATGTAAAAATTTAAGTTTAGGTGTTTGATATATAAATTCATAGGAATTGACAAGGCATGTATGTAGATTTAGGGTTTAGGGCCTTTGTAATTCAATGACTTCCGAAAAATAAGGTGCCAATTTGTGCTTGGCAATTAAAATAAATAATTTTTATTTGCTTAAAAAACATTTTAAAGAAAATAAATTAATAAGATTTTATTATTTTATTTTACTAAAAAAATTAATATTATTTTGAGCTTCTAATGGAAGTACTCATAAAGAAATTTCTTAAAATAATAATAAAAAAAACTATATTGATATTTTTTTATTCAAAAATATTTATAAAAATATTCACATACATATCACATAAATTTCATATTTATATATCTAACTCCTAACCTTTAATATTATATTTATATCACTCTATTTTGTGCATCAAATTTTTTTAATTATTTATAAATTATTAATAATATTATTTTTTTGTGATATAAAACATAAAATATAAAAAATTAAACATTAAGTATTACATATTTAAATACCACATTAATTTATATGGACATTTATTTACATGAAACCCATTTCCTATGTATTTACATATCTTAATACCTGAATTTTATTTTTAACATTTATATTACCCAAAAAAAATCTACAAAATTAATTTAAAATTAAATTAAATAATCGTAATACCTCTCATAAAAAAAAAAGTAATCTAGTCAAGTGTTAGACTTATTAAATTAATTTTAATATAAATATAATATAAAAATAATCAAACTTTATTATAATAAAAGAAACAATCCTATTTATAAATCTAGCACCATCTTTCACCTATTTTTAAATTTTTCTCATGTATCAAAATTCACAATAAAATCAAAATCATAATCCATTCGATAAAAAACATACAAATCAATCGAAATATTGATATTTACAAATTAACCACTCATATGATCTTATTGAACTAATGGATCAAAGTATCTATACCTGTTTCGGTCAAATTATTGAGAATTTGATAAAAATGGAAAGAGGGCAATTGATTTAAAATAAATCACATGTTAGTTTTATAAATAATAATAATTCAAGTGTTGTTTATGTAAAATATAATTTTTAAAAAGAAATCAATTATTTGCAACCACCATAAAAACTAAGGGCCCGTTTCGGGCAGCTTATAAGTGCACGGGCGTTTTTGAAAACAACGTCACACAGTTTGAATCGCACGTTTTGTCCGTTTATTTGAAAAAAAAAGTTCCATTTTTACACTAAACGTAGGCCACGGGTTGAATCCCGCGGGCCGTATTTTAGGTGTTTTTGAAAACAACGTCACACAGTTTGAATCGCGCGTTTTGTCCGTTTATTTGAAAAAAAAGGTTCCATTTTTACACTAAACGCAGGCCACGGGTTGAATCCCGCGGGCCGTATTTTAGGATAAACTGCTTATCCTGAAGCGCACAAGTTCCCCCAAACACATCCTACACATCCTAAATGAGTGTTACCTTATAAAAATAAAAAAAAAAATAAATAAAAATAAAAAAAAAGTAGGTGGGAGATTTTAGGGACCCACAAACAGCCAATAAGAACAATAATTGCGAGGAAAAAGTAGTGTTGACCAGAAAATTGTTCTTGTGATGGTAAAATTGTAGCAAAATAATAATTTATTTAAAGTAAAATACGCATACATTATAATGAACTTTAGACGAATAAATATAAAGTTTTAAATATTAGATATATTTATATATGTAAATTGTTCATATAAAAATTTGCAATTAATTATAATAATTGACACAAGTTGGGATATAAAAAATAGAACAAAAAAAAAAAAAAAAAAAAAAAAAAAATGTTTTGAAAACAACATTACAGCAATAAAGTAATTCATCTGGAAGCGAGATAAAAGGCATGAGAAAATACACATGAATGAAGGTGGCGGATGGAGTGGTCCCATCAAAGGGCCCACAAACATCTGGAATTGAGCTTAAATTGCACATTTTATAAAGTGGCATTTACATATCTTACACCTAAATTTTAGGTTTTTTCACATTAATACAACCAAAATCTCTCCTATCACATTAAAAAAATATTATGATTTAACTAAAGTTTTATGTATGAAAAAATTGAAAATATCCCAAAAAAAATATAAAAGAAATAAATAATGATTTAAGTTTCAAATCACAATACTAATTACAATTAGAAGCTATAAGGAGCAATTCAAGGTAGTGTTATCGAATTAGAAATTGCAGTGCGATGCACAGAACTTTATTTTTGCTTCAAATTGTAGAACGAAGCGGCACTATTATCAATCAATGCACTAATAGATTATACAAAATTGTTCATGTATATGTACACTCATTAGTAATTATAAAACATATTAAGACTTAAAAGTTGATATGAAATAGATAAAAATATAATGCAATATAAAAGTTGAAGGCAAATATTAGGGGTAAATATGTAAAATTAGAACTTTGAATAATTTCTAATAGTTGTACAACAACAACAACAACAAAGCTTTAATCCCACTACGCGGGGTCAGCTACATGAATCATTTTTCTCCATTGCGTCCTATTTATTGTCATATTTTCATTCTAATAAATTAAGATCCTTTTTTATACAATCAGCCCAAGTCTTCCTAGGTCTACCTCTGCCTTTCTTAACATAAGTCGAATCTAAAACATCTACTCTTCTAATCAGATCATCAAATGGTCAACGCTTAATGCTACCAAACCATCTAAGACGACTTTCTCTAATTTTCTCCGTCGTAGGAGCTACACCATCCCTATCAAGGATATATTCATTTCACATTTTTCCCTATTAAGGATATATTCATTTCATATTTTGTCTCTAAGTGTAAAGCCACTCATCCACCTAATCATTCTAATAGCTGTAATAATTAAAATTTAAAAATTGCAAAAAAAACATGTAAATTAACTTCAGCAGTACGAAGTGCGTCTCAATAAATTGAAGGAAAACGGGTGTCACGCGCTTTGCTTGTGAAACGCGCTTTTAAAAACATTAATTCAAAAAACTAATGACAACACATTAATCAATCACTCATAACAAATAACAGAAAAAAAACAGAACAAACTTTCATAGCTCATAAAAAAATTAATATTTCCAAAGTAAAAAACCAACAATTTGAGAATATGAAGCATATATTTACCTTCATAACAAGCATAGAAAATAATCAATAACATCCATTTCCATTTCGGCTATCAATTGAAACATACTTTCTGAACATTACTGCAAGAAAATTAGTAAATTATGTATATAAAGCAAACAAATAATTTCAGTGATTAACAGCAAAAGCTTAGGAATTGCTTGGAATAACATTAAAAAAGTGATAAACCTCATCTTTGTCAAATACGCCAACTTCAGTTGAGCAAACTGAGCAACAAACCGGATGAAAAACCATATTATCATTATAATCCTGATGAAATTTACCAGAATCTGAAAGTTTTTTAGATTTCCTTTTGCTCTTACTCTGCTCTCTTAAGATTTGATCAGTTCTGATTGTGCAGTTTACAACAAACATGGCTCTGTACTGGGTGACATATTTCTCATGCCTGCAGCAAAGTTCTGTCAAGAATTGTAGAACACTTGACATTTTTTAAAAGAGTTGAAAGAGAGGAATTGAAAAATGGAAATGAAAATGATAAAGGATTAGAAGTTAGTTTTTACTCACATTATTATTAATAAGTACTAATTTTTCATTAAGATTAAAAAAACATTCAATTTAATGCAAAAGAATAAAAGTTGATTGAAAAATTAGAGGGGCATCATCTTGGAATTAATATTAAGAATAAATGAGATATTTAGAGTTGTACTTACATACACAATTAAATTACATGATAAAAAAACCACAACAATATTGGAAAATTAGATTGAATTTATGCCCGAATGAGCAACCATGAAGATGATTATGACTTTTATACTAAGAAAATGAACGAAAACTACAAAAATAAAAAAAGGTTTATCATATTATAATTATTGATCTTGTAAGAATAAATAATAAATAGTCTACTTTTATTATGTTATGGAACTTACCTAAGCCTTTTCTAACGCAAATCTTGTTACTAACACTTCGCATTCAATTTACAATACCATCTCTTTGATTGATTGGACATGATTCCTTACGTCACACTTACGTCACATGCAAGTTCAAGCTCATGGCAACAACTCAAGTCATTACAATCTCAAATTTTAAACTAATTCAAATGACTGTTTCCCTGCTCTGTAAAACTGCAAGTTATCTTTGACTTTGATTGAAAAAATAAGTAACTTCATTTGTAGAAAGAACATCAACATACACAATATTTGTCCATCTAACTATCCTCAAAATATAATTCATTAACTTCTTGTTAAATACCAAAAAATTAGTCCCATGTCTATTTACATAATGTCATTTTAGTCCCATAATTTACACAATATCAAATTAGTCCGCATTATTTTAATATGAGGGGACTATTTTAGCTTCCATTAAAGAAGTTTGGGGACAAAATTGACATTTTTGTAGACTCCGGGACTAAAATGACCAAGAGTCAAGGGACCAATTTGACATTGTTCTCAACAAAAAAATGTATCAATTTATATTACCTTACCAGTCAAGTGCATGTTTAGAGGTAATTTCAAAATGAAGCATCATAATATTGTCCATAAAGATATCACTACGCTGAACAAACTGTGATAAACTGATGATGGCAACAATCAAAATGTTGGCTTAACCATGCATTAGAAATTAAGAAAAGGGACATTTACATACAGACCGCAAAATTTCCAAGTATTTACATATCCAAAACCAAAACTTTACCATTTACATTAAAACCACCCAAATCTTTCATATCATATAAAATATGCTAAAATATTAGCTTTCAAAAAGTGAAAAAACATCTTTTCATGCAAAGGTAAGGTAGAATGTATGTAAAATTTGATGTTTGGGTGTTAGATATGTAAATACATAGTAATTAAATGATATGTATGTAAATCTCCCATAAAGAAAAGGTATGGATAGAGGAATGAGAATAAAATACCGTCATTTGATTTACAAAAAAATTAGCAGTCATAAACTCGAGGCATCAAAAGTACATGGACTAATCAGAATCAAATCTACAGCATAGTGATGCTATTAAAGAAAGGAAGATAGAATACATAAGCATGCAAGTTAAAATTTTTTAGGAAGGCAAGGAAATTTACAATTTATAAAAGTTGTGATACTAAAATATGTAAATTGCAGCTCAAATGCAGCTCTGTCCGCATAATTCAGCAGAGGATAACATATGAAAAGGTGGGCATAAGGATGTAAATTTGAAGTCATAGAAAAAGAATTTAACGCTCAAATAAAGCTTTCATAATACAAGAATTTTATTTAGAGCAATAGAATATACCTTTGACAATCAAAGCATAGGGTAGTAAAACAAGCAGGGCAACTAAGCACTGCATCAGAAGTCCTTCCTTTCCTTTGTTTATTCATCCACTGTTCATCCTTCACATCAAGCAATGGGTCGTAAAACTCAGGCTTGATGGAGTAGTCTATCTCATCATCACTGGAAACTAAAAGAAGATTTCAAGTCAAGTACATGAACGACATGCTGGTAATTGTAACAAGAAAAAAAGGGTATGCATATCCTGAACCCTATTTTAATTTACAAAAAGAAAAATTATCACATTTTACATTTTTTGTATATATAAAATTGATTTGAAACTTCAAAACAACAAGTATCCATCTGTAACAAACCAACTCAAAACCCGTTTTGACCAAACCCATCAATTACCACGCCCATAATATGAAAGTATAAACTGTTTTGGCCCAGCCCGCAACATACTAGGTTCAACTTAACGATTTTATCATTTTTTGTGCAATTTCAGGAGCTGTACACCACAAGCATGCTTAATAGTGGTGTCCCTAACAAAACTCCACCCATTAGACAAAAAGATGTCTCTTATATTTAGGTATAACCCTTAACTCGTATAACCCATTAACCTTTTTCATAAAAAGATGTCTCTTATATTTAGGTACAACCCTTAACTCGTATAACCCATTAACCTTTTTCATCCATTTCTAATGGGAGTATTATTTCATCCACCTCTTTCTCCCAAAAGCCTATCATAAGCTACAACCTGTCCAGGCATGATTATTCCCCGACCTCATCAGATTGCACTCTTTAGATGCAAGATGTTATAGGAGTTGACTGAAATTCGAGAAGAAGAAATGGAGAAAGAAGCGCAGGAGAAAAGGGGGAAAGCAGAGATACGAATCAAAAAGGTAAAATGACTTTTATTATTGTTGGATGAAATGAAGCTACAAGTTATATAGGAAAACAAAAGCTAAAACACGGCACACCTCACTAACACATGGTACACATCGCATGTGACAAGTAAATAAAACAACGGATCCCATATTTTATATCGTTAACATGATCCCTCAAACTAACAGCCTCTGCTAGAGAGATTGTTAGTTTGTCTCAAGTTTTTGAAACGGAGGAGTTGAAAGAGCTTTTGTAAAGATATCTGTTGTTTGTTCTTCCGAAGATAGGTACCGTAAGGTAATCTCATTGGACTTGATGTGATCTCTGATAAAGTGATAGTCGATCTCAATGTGTTTGGTTATGGCGTGAAAGAGATGATTACGAGTTATTGTCATAGCTGACATGTTGTCATAATAAATTGTACTTGGTTCTGAAGTTAGAATTTTGAAATCCCGAAGAAGCCTTCTCAACCAGATAACTTCTGTTGCTGCTGAAAATATGACTCTATACTCAGCATCGATGGATGATCTGGCTACAACTGCTTGCTTTTTCACATTCCAAAAAAATAGATTAGGTACAATGAATGTACAATGCCCAGTAATGGATCTTCTGTCAGTGACATCATTAGCCCAGCTAACATCAGCCTACATGTGGAGAGCAAGTGGACCGGCTTAGAAGGGTAAACCTAAGTCAATTGTACCTTGAAGATATCTTAGGAGATGTTTAAGGTGTAAACTACAATGGTTTTATAAATGTTGAGAGAGAGAGAGAGAGTTAACATCAAACATAATATCTGGACGAGTCAAGGTTAAGCATCACAGTGATCCAAGAAGATAGTTATATAAGGCAGATTAGAAAAGGGTTCTGTAGAATCAGTTAGAGCTTTGGTAGAAAAAGTTTGAGGATTGGGTAGAGATTTGCATTCTTTCATACCTGCTCTATGTAGAATGTCTTTGACATAGCTTGCTTGATTGAAATGATATCCATAGGAGGTAATTTGGATGGTGACACCGCGAAAGGTCGATACAGTGTCCAAGAATTTCATGGAGCAGGACTGCTGTAAATCTTGTTGAAGTTGCTACATTAAATCGTTGTTATTTTCTGTTAACAATATATTATGTACATAATGTAGAAGATAAAGTATATGAGACTGATGATGGTATATGTAAAGAGACAAATAAGCTTTAATAATGTGAAACCCAAATTTGAGAAGATGTTTGGTGAAAGTATGACTCCATTGTCTCGGTGCCCTTGGTGAAGAATACTTTTGCCCCTCCGATGGCCTAGCGATGTCCCTGGAATCCGATTTCAAACGTGGCACGCCTTCCTAGTTCTCCCTGCCACGCCGAGTTTGTCAATACCTTCCACATCAGAGTTGTTGCGTTGATTCCCACATTAAACTCTGTTCGGTATGTTCTGTACTTCTCTTCCTCTTTTCTCTCGATCGCTTGCACCTTAGTGTTACGATCGATGTTTTCGGTCCCTGGTATTTCTCATTCGTATATCCTTAGCTTCCTTTCATTCTCCCATCGGGTATATTTTTGATACATTCTATTGATATTTGATCCTTGAATGCGGTGGTGATTCAAAGCAATTTGATGTTTGAGGCATTAAATGTTTTCTGATTGTCTATTGCTTTTAAAGTTATTGTTCTTCCCTTTGTAAGTATATATAACAAATTGAGGATCTGGTTCAAGCTTTTCAGACTGAGATCTGATGAATGATTTATTTCTTCACAGAACAGAGAGCGTATAGCTCTGATTGATGAATGAATAGTGGTGGATCGCGTCCTCATTGATGTTTTAAACACATTATAAGAAAGCCAGAAGACCCTTCAGGATGTATAGTATGACATCTTCAGTGTCTACTGTTGAGCAAGCTGCCAGATATATTATCCACTATGGCTTTGATTTGCATCAAGTATTGCGTCATGGTAAGATTTCTCATCAATATATTGTGTAATTCGTTCTTTAGCTGTATGACTCGAGACCGAATTGAAGCTTGCAGGCATTTCACCAAAATGGTCCAGATCTCATGACAGCTATCCAGATTTAGAACATAGGGTAGAATAAATGCCGAAATTGTTTAATATAAGGCAACGACGCGATTCTGATTGATTAACAGCCAGGCCGTATAAATGCAATTGATCGAATAAATACCTGATTTGCTGATGAATTTCGAGTTAGGGGGTGGAGTGGAACCATCAAGAAAACCCAGGAACTTGTTGGTTTTAGTAATATTGATCATTTGGGACCTTCAAATTTAGTAATAATATGCAGATAGATGTTGGGGACCATAGGTTTTAGGCTGGACATAAGAAATTTCAATGAGGGAGGGATTGGGGCTTTCAAAATTCTGAGATTTCCCAACCCTTCAATGATATTAGAAGTTCCAGGGTCGTCCATGGGTGCAAAGCCTAGAGAGCTCTGATACCATGAAATTCGAGAAAAAGAAATGGAGAAAGAAGCGCAGTAGAAAAGGGGGAAAGCAGAGAGATGAATCAAAAAAGTGAAATGACTTTTATCATTGCTGGAATGAAATGAAGCTACAAGTTATATAGGAAGACAAAAGCTAACGCACAGTACACACACGTGACAAGTAAATAAACAGTGGACAATATTTTGACCTCCCGTTTGTCGTACTCATAAGCTCAGAATTTGGACACATACTCTAATTGGTGTGGAGTCCCCTAGTTCAATCATCACGATATCATAAGCAATAGATGATTTGAATGTACCTCTTTTTAATTAGGAACATATCTTAGTTGTTCACGCATCCCTCCCTTTCGTTGGATTTGGAACACACACTAGACTCAAATGAACTTAAAGATAACACACACACACACACTAGGTTTATTATCATTTTTTGTCCAATAATTTGTGTCTCATTACGATTGTGTGTACCACACCAAGAATGTGATATATGTTTTATCATGTGTCTCCCCCCAAAATCCTGATCTCTACTTGATTGCATGCTTCTTGCTGAGATCATGATCTCCATCAATCTATATTTGTTCCATAACGGACTTTGAGTTTGACCTAATCAAGTTGACTCAATTTAATCATTAAAATTTGAATACGACAACAAATTTCAAAATTCAATGGCAGAGTAAATATGTTGAAATATTGATTTTATAATGGGCTAATTATATTTCATTAGATTTTATAATTAGGCGGTTCAAATTACATTTAATTTTGAAGTTTAAAATTTGTAGAGAACCTTGAAGGTGTCTGCACTTGGTCAATGCAAGCAATGAATCTAAAAAACTTTAATTTGTTTAATCTCCACTTTAATGGATAACTCTAAGCCAGTGATCATAAACTCACATCCAACTTCAGTATTTGCATGGAACTCTGAAAGAGTATAAATTAGTGCATTATGCATCATTCAAAAGATATGAACACTAGGTCAATGCCAACTCTGGCTTTAAAAAGTAAGTTTGAATCAATAATTTTCATAAAAGAAGCAGCATCAAAATAAAATTTCTTAGTCAACATCTACTACATGCCTGAGATTTACTCTAGGAGAGATCATTATTGAGCGGAGAATTTGCAACATAGAGTGTGTTGCAAGAATAATAGCCAAAGTCTATCATTTAAAAGTTGGTTGAAACATCATGATACAATAGAATCAACATTTGAAATCCATTTAGCATATAATTATTGATGTTATGCAATTAAATAGGTGTATTTTTTTGGCTTTTTTATTCATGACATTCAAAATAATATTTATTAGTAACATAAATAAAGAGCACTTTTAATAGGTATGAGTTAACATGCAAGTTAAAGTTTTGCAGAAGAAGCATTGCAATACACCATCCAAAGCTCAAACTAAAATAAACAAGGAGCATAAATGATTCCCATTATGGAGACTCCACCAATAATTGTGTTTTTCCATAATAGAATGAATTATTTTAAAAAATTTTATCATTTTTTAAATAAGAATGTTTATTCTTCACTGACCTAAACATAGTACAAAAAAGGAGAAATCGTGATCCTAACTCTTTTATATGATAAACAAAAAAAAGGCATAAATAAAACTTGTGTTTTCATTTTCTCTCCTGGTTTCATTATGACCCAACTTTCTTCCTTCATCAACATTCAGCTCCTTTGCTTGTTTCTATTCATCTAAAGTAGCAATCTTACCATAGAGTCTCAAATGCTCCTAAACACCACTCTTCGGCACAACCTCAATATTTGTATAATGTCAAAGTCTCCCGCAAGCTACACGCTAGTCTATGCCTTCGGATACACTTAGTCTCCAAATTTTGGGTGTTTCTCTTCTTTCATTAAAGGAGTCATTTTCCTTCTCAATCGCATTGGGCTCTTCACTACGCTTCTTCGGTAAGACAAAATTTTGAGAGAAACATTGATAAAACTCGAGAAAACTTGATAAAACTTTGATAGCACAGTTTTGCCAGGATTTAGCCATGAATTTAACTTAAATCCAGCCAAAAAAAAAAAAAATCCTAAATCGAACTCTTCGTTAAACAAAATTTATTCCAATTTCGTCTTCTATACAGCCATTTCATCTGTAAATCCAAGTTTAATAAATCCCACAGAGAGGCAGATTTAATGAATTTAAGTTGTCGTTGCTTGCAACCTTCACTCCCATCAAGAGCTTGCCGGAAATCCGGATTTGATTAATCCTACTTAACGTAAATCTGACCCTGCAGCCAAACACCCCCAAATAATGCCGGCTTTAAAATCCACCTGATCTAGAGTTTGGCGGATTTATATCAAAACCTGGTTAAAACTCAAATAAACAAGGTAACCAAACAGCCCCTTAATTTACTGATTTTAGAAAACTGCACAGTAACTACTGCAAATTCAGCCGCATTTATCCAGAAATATATATTTCTATGCGTTTTAGTTGGAAAGAATCAACCGCTAATCAAGAAACTACTGAAATTTCCTCTACAATTCCTACGATCTAACACCAAGAAGGGATTTGGGGGTTTCAGAAACGGAATGAATTCAACTCGGATTTGAGAAGAACAAAAGTTAAAATTCCAAGAGAATGAATTCGTAAAGGAGAATGGAGGGAATAGGATTTTACTGAGTTCCCGCGGATCTGTAGGTGGCGGCTCCAAGTCTCTCCCCATAGGCCGCCGCTCTGGTGCCTCGCTCTCTCCTCCCGCGCCTTGCCTCCATCCTCCCAAATGGCAAACGGATCAGCTGGACTGAGGAAGAAGAAGGCTTCAGAGTATCGATGTTTCGAGACGAAGGGTTTAATTTATATTTACATAAATACCACTGAATTTTTATGTAATTACTTCAACTCTTAAATTACAATTTTTACAAATATATCACGCATTAATGGCTCAAAAATTGATTTGAATTTTGACTCGGATCGAGATCCGATCGGAATAAACTAGCCAAGCTACGAGCCAAAATTTTAGATCGAAATAAACTAATCGAGCTACGAGTCAATTTTGAGTTGACACTAGCTAAGCCCAACTTGAGATATTTTTGATGCGATATGTAAGAACGAGGAGTTATGAAAGGAAAAAAGATAAAATTTTGGTATTAGATTTATAAATTCATAGGATTTCGTTGGTGTAAATGTAATGCTTCTATACACGGACTCACATTATCTATGCATGAAAATTTTATATGAAATATGAAAACTTTGCAAAATTTTGTGAGTTAAGGTACGGAGGGAGACCGTAATTAGGAAATTTTTTTAAAAAAAATAGGTTTATTATAGAAGAAAATAATATATAAAAATTAATTAAATTTTTGTGCTTTAAATTTTATTATATTTATCACAAATTATTTGCAATGTAAATGTATATGTATTTTACTTTAAATGAATTATTGTTTGTTATAATTTTACCATCACAAGAACAATTTTATAGTCAACATTACTTTTTCCTCGCAATTATTGTTCTTGTTGGCTGTTTGTGGGTCCCTAAAATCTCACACCTACTTATTTATTTATTTTTATAACACAACTGGCAACGCCCATTTAGGGTTTGTTTAGCGCAGCTGTTGATCATTTATAATCTACTGGTAAACAGATTATTCTGATAATCTGCAGATTATCAGAATAATTTGTCTTGTTGTTTGGGACAGCTTATTCAGATTAGCTTATTGGTGGTTCAATGACATTCATGCCCCTGTCTGATAAAACTATTTGGGGCAGTTTATTCAGAATAGCTTATTGGTAGAACAAAATTATATAGTACAGAAGCATACGATCATCACAGATCAGTTCTAAAAGATGACATACAGTTCTCACACTCTCGTGAGTACCAAAAGAAATAAAAAAGTACAAATACAAGTACAACTACAAAGAGAAATATTAAAATATTTAATTTCAGACTTTGGCTACGTCTGTTCTCATATGCACTGTCAACCTGAGAAAACACTGAATTCCCATGATTGCTGACAGTGTAATATGAGGGACTGTCAGCCCACCGGAAGAAGCCGCAACAAGCAGAAACCTCTTGGCACAACCGTAGAACTGCCTCCCAAAACTATGAGACTGACGCGACGTGAGTAACGGAGACGGTAGACCACGATAACACAAAATATCTCTATCTGTAACTAATATCCTAGAAGTCATTTTTGTTTAACTGCGAAAAAAAAAGAATGTTAATACTTATTCCAAAAAAAAATAAAATACTCATAAAAATTAATCTACATATATACGAAGAAAAGAAAGACTTGTTGGATTAGCTGCAATGTATATCATCTACTATAGACTCCCTCAGAGTAGCAATTTCAGCCACACCCTTCGTGTCATGAACTACAAATTCATTAAATTCATTCTCATCCTCAGGAACTGAAGGCCCAATCATGCTTTCTGATGGTTCCTCATAGACTGTCAGCTCTTCATTATCAGTCATGCTAAAGTCCGTATCTAAACGTGAAGGGTGTCGCCGTATGAAGTTATGAAGTGTCATTGTTTCCACCACAATATGCACATGCTTCTGAAATGGATATGACGGCATATCACGTAGGATGACCCATTTCTTCTTCCACACACCAAACTTTCTTTCAATTACCCCACGTAAAGAAGAGTGACATTTGTTAAATATTTCTTTCCTATCATGAATAGTGCCACTTGCTCGTTTAAAATCATCGACACCCGACAATCGCCACTGTTGTGGTACATTATCGTTGTCGTCAAATCACCATCTCCATGTCGCCATTACCATCGCCCTGGCAATTTTTCTCAATTCGTCACCATCGCTAACTACTGTCACCCGATCGACACCACTGTTATCATTAGATCACCATTGTTCGACCACTGTTGTCGTCATAGTACACCACTATGGTCGAACCATCATTGTTCAGTCAATGGCGATGCTTCTATTATTGTTGCCCAGCCAATGCTATTGGACTACAACCATTATAATTGAACCATTATTGTCAGGCGACCACCGTGCTGGAGCTCTATTATCAGGTCACCACGGTGTTAGACCATCTCCGTTGGGCCACCATCGCACTTGCGGTGCACTGTTATAGCCGCTAGATCACTGTCAAATAGCTAGCATCATCATTGTCATAGTACATTGCCATTAGTGAACTGTAATCATCTAACCAACCATGTTGTTGTCGCCAATACCATTGTTGTTGGATCACCATTTCTGGCTACTGTTATCGCTTTCATCACTTGATCGGCGTGTTGGACCACAACCAAATCACTGACATCGAGCCGCCACTATGCTAGACGACTATCATAGGGTTGTTGCTATATTAGAACACTACTTTCAGGTTCCCACTGTTCCCGACCGTTGTCGCAGGATCGCCACAGACAGTGGAATGCCATCATTCATCTATTGCCATTCCCGGATCACCGTCAGCATCGCCTGAAGAGAGCAGGCAACCATCACTTGAAGGGAGTAAAGAGCAATTCCTTGAATTTGTGTTGGAGCAACAACATGAATTTAGGAATGCAACAAATTGAGTGAAAAGGCAATAATAGACCGAAGAAGACTTCAATCTATGGAGTAGTGTGACTTCTCTCCCTCTGAGAGCGAATATTTATTTGCAAAATTTGAAAAAAGATAATAAAAATCAAAATTTTGGGATTTCACTATGCAAACTAATCCGCAATGCGCACATGCAAGCACGAGTGCACTCAAGTATGCATCTCCCACAATCACATTGACTAGGTTTGCGCATGCTCGCCATTGCAATGTCCGACTCGTGCTAGTGCACTGCTTTGCCCTGCGCGCGCTGCCATAGGTGTCTTAGCCCATGTACTTGACACATGTATTCCGTAGTTGTCGTTTGCTCGTGTACCAATCACCCCACGCCGTTTCATTTCTATTTGCATTCATACTTGTTTATGGGCCTCACTACATTTTTAGGTACATCATTGTACTCATTTGCTTGTATGGACATACATAGGCACCCATGCATACTTGCCTACACTCCCATACACGTAGAAAAACCTCCATCGCTTAACCATTGCTATTTGACCACCACCGTATGACCACCTCCACTATCGGTCCACCACTACCCGACCACCACCGTCCTTACAGCCAGACCATCGTCTTCTGGCTGCTACTACCGCTGGACCACATTTGCTCGACCATCAACATCACCGTTGTTGGACCAATATCGTTTGCCCTCCACAACAGCCGAACTACTGTTTCCCAACCCCCAACTTCTTCTTTGTCGGACCACTAATGTCCGGATCACTGCTTCCCGACCACTAATGTCATGTCCGGACCACAACTGTCTGATCTCCTCGAATCACTACCACTTGACTGTCATTGCAAACACCAGTGACAACTACAATATGGTCAAAACTTTACGGAGGCCCATGACAACTTAAATCTCCTCAAAGTACGAAACTTAGGAACTTCTGAAATTATATTTTCAGTACTAGTTACATATTTTTGAACAACATAAGCCATATTGCCTGATGTGTCATCAACAAATTTTTACTAAGCTCAAATCTCAATGCATTTTTTATAAGATGTCTTCCAAATTCAAATTCAAGATCATCCGACACCGATTTTGGCAATTTTATAGTTACACCGACCGTCTCGACAAGGCTAACCCAATGATATCAAAATTGGTCCAATATGACTTCAATCAAGCCCGAATCAAGTCATTGAAGCACATTCAGAGCATTTGGATTGTAATTTGAATGATTAAATGACCTTTAAATTTGACATTTTTATAGTCAATTCGAGCATCATGACGGGATGAATCCAACGAGCACAAAATTGCTAAATCTAAGGTAATTAAGTTATTCAAATCAATAAAAAATCTTCTATGATTAAAGGGATCATCAGAGACCGTATGATCGGGTGGTTAGGGAAGTTATGCGCCTAATTACCAAAATGTCCCTCCTTAAATGGCTATAAATAATCACCCTTCTCACTTGAGAGAAAGGGAAGAAGAAGAGAAATTACAGCACCTCCTTTGGAGAGAACCGTCGACCAACACCGACCGTCTCTGTCTACTGCTGCTGATCACTGGTCACGAACAACCCTTGTTTGCAACCATTGTATTCTAAATACCGTTGTTGCATCTGACACCTGTATTGGGGACTCGACAATAACCGTCGGGCATCGTAGCCGCTAACCACAATCAACCACTACTCGTTTGCCAATGTCAGCCACACTTGTCGTCATTGTTTTCTACCGCCAACTACTGGTCGCTAGTGACCCATACTTGTAATTGTTGTTGTCCAAATACAATCTTTATGATCTACTACTGTCAATTTAATAATCAACTACGGCCTTTGCAGCCAATGGCCACAACCTTTGTGACTTGCTACTGACATTGTAACAATGAACTATGGTCTTTGTGCCCAAATGCTACTATTACAATTTCCAACTACGACATCTGTCGTTAACTGACGCATTCCAATCACCAACTACAACTTTTATAACCAATTACTGTCTTTATAGCAACTAATTATGGCCTTTGTAACAACCAACTACGATCTTTAGGACTAAATACTACAGTTATAATTTTCAATTACAAGCTTTTTGGCAAACTGTTGTTATTGCAGCCACCGACTATAATCTTTATGACCAAATATTGTATTTGTAGAAACCAACTACGACCTATTGCCTTTACAACCAAGCACCACATTTGTTGTAGCCCGACTATGAATATTATAGTTAAACTATTATTGTACATTAATGATTATCAATTTTGTAATTTCATATTCTTTAATTTTGGAGAAGAGTGGACCTGTGTACTTACAATTACATGGTAGATCATAGTTTTTTTTCTCTTTCTAGGGTTTTTACATGTAAAATATTGGTGTCTTCTTCCGCCACTTTTCATTTATTCGTGTGTGTGTTGGATCTGCTAAGATATAAAATTATCACCTACCGCCACAAATTTTTCTGCAGGCGACAACACTGAGACTAATTAATGAATCGTATTGGTGTTTTATTGTACAGTGTCAGGTTTTTGTTGCCTTGTTAGCGAAGTGATATTAAGTTGCATGCCCAAACGATAGAGTTGTAATTTATTTGGAGCTAGAGGCGGTGTTTTTGCTTATAGAGGTGGTTGCAATTACTGAATTAGTCAAATTAAGAAATCTTTTTAAAGCTTTGGCTATGTTGATTAAGGCCTAATTTTGGTTATTGGAACTTTGCTAATTAAGATATTCTTACTGTCAGGACTTCGCATTTGCCCATGTCCTCCTCCTGAATTTAAACCATAAGCTAATGAGGAAAGTGAGTTGATCATATCATAATTTCTAGCATTTTTGTATATTAATTTATTAAAAAACTAATTAAATAGCCTAAGAAATTCAATATATAAAAATGATAAATAGGGTAATACATACATTTGATCTTCGACCTTCATTTCACCCTCTGAGGCGTGGATTCAGGCGTCTGATTTTATTTAACTTGATGATTACATTTAGTTTATATTTCCATGCAATTAGTTTTATAAGCCATGAGGATGTAAGGCATTACACGACTGATTAATAAAACCATGTCCTACTATTTATTATCCTTTTCCCTCTCCCTTCCCCCTCCATGGATGAACAAGGCTCGATACCTCTCACTCCCCCTAATGGCTGCGTAAGCGAAGGCTTCTATTATTCTCCCTCTTCTCCTCTCCTTTTTTCAGCCCTAGCCATCCGCTAGTCTCTACCTTGATCTCTCTTTCCCAAATATAACAAAAAACTGAAACGGGTCTGTTACAGGGGGGATGGGAAACGAAAAATTGAGGAAGAGGAAAGAGGGGTTGGGAAATGAACTGTAGGGAGAGGAAGATGAATCGAGCGATCGGGAAGTCGGAGAGGAGTGAGATGAAGTGAGAAGTCGGGAAATTTAAACTAGGAGATAGGAAGCCAACATACATGTTTGCCTTATAATCCACACAACATCACCACCGCCGACCTCCGTCGTCGACCGCCACCGACAACCACCGCCGACCTCCGACGACCACCGCCGACCGTCGTCGACCTCCGCCAATCGTCATCGATCATCACTAACCACCATCAATCACCATCAACCAGACGCCGTCAGTCGACGTTGTAATATGAAAAATATAGTTATTATTTCCCGTCTGTGGGACAAGGAATTTCTGTAATCATCAATCAATAGTGGATTTCCGCAACGGGGTCAGGCCTCGTGGTTTTTCACCAATGGGTTTTCCACGTAAAAACTTCTGGATTCATCCCCGTTTATTTCTCTTTCATCTGCGTGTGTGCTGAACTTTCGTACGACGCTAAGACGATAATCCGTTACTCTACCGCCATGAATTTCCAACACGCATCAGTTTGGCACCGTCTGTGGGAAACGAAGTCCTATTCAACATTTTCTTCAACTCTAAGAAGTTGATCTCCTACTTCGTTTTCCAACGATGTATATTATCCAACTGGCTAAGGAACCTTCTTTATGTCTTGAAGAACTTCTTAGATGCATTCTTCCAGTCTGGGGGGCAACTTTTATTGTTATCTCGAAAGGTCGTTCACATCAATGTTCCGAGCACGATTGCAGTGAATTTGTTTTCTCGCATCTTATTCAGACATAGTATTTCACAACTTCTTCCAGGCAAAGGGGCAACCTTCACTGTAGTCTCGAAAGTTCATTCATGTTAACATCCCGGGCACGACTGTGGTAAGGAAGTCATCCCATATTTTATTCAGATTACAAGTTTTCGAGAATCTATCCTGGACTGGGGGGCAATTTTCACTGCAAAAAACGCTTCCTCAGTGTCCCCTCATAGTACTGAAGTTCCTCTTCAGCTATGCTAGGAAGCTGATCTTTTTAAGGTCCAATACTTGTGTTGTTTTACAAGCTTGTATGGAAAATACCCTAGCTAGGAGAGCAAAAGATTCAAAAGTAGCAACTAACAAGTTGTCAAATATTTTCTTGAGTATGATTGCAACCATATTTCCAAAAAAATATACGGTCCATTGCGACCAACACCATAGTATCGAGAAACACAGAGCATCTCTGACATCTCATTCTAGGCTTAATCGATCCAAGGGGGACTCGATTCAAACTCTTCCATTACAGGCTATAGTCGTCAAGCAAAAGCTTCGACATACAACCTCGAATGGGTCAAAAATCCTTGGTGGATTTTCTTCGATCTCTTCCATAACATGTTACGGTCTTCAAACAAAAGCTTCAACCAACAACCTAAGATAGGTCAACCATCCTCAATGAATTTTATATGACTGTTCATTACGAGTTAATACTATTAGTATCTCCGGTTATACAACTCAGAACTAGTCTTACATCCTTAGTAGATTCTCCTTTCAACCATGTCTCTGAAAGTCAAGCTCACGAGGTAAGACTCAATGAGAAGCTACCATGCACCTGAAAGACAAGCCCGCGAGTCAAATCTTGATAGGATGCTATCAATGAACAGGGTCCTCACTAGAAATACTCCATGAGAGTAAGTGATTGACTTGGTCTCCACTCAAAGACCTCAGAAGGCTACGAGCTACAGAAGATACCGGCTCAAGCTCCTACAAGTCAATAGTCTGAGGGGGCATAATCTCGGAAGGCCTGAATCACAAAAGCCTCAAAAGCAACGTAAAAAATGTACAAAGAAATACATTATCATCATCTATAAATGTTACATCAGATAATTAAAAAGATTGCAAGTACCAACATAAGGGCTACAACATATCAGTTCATCTTCGAGCAGATTCAGCATCGCCTCCACAAAATTCCAGTACTTCTGATGATCGTCGGTGGGTCTCCAAATATTGACACCACATAAGCATTAAAATCTTCCCCTCAAAGCGCGGTTAGAAAACTGCAACATTTCTTCATCACCTCCGAAATATACCTCAACAAGAAAGAAAATCTCGTGGCTTGCCTACTACGCAAGACAGAAATGACTTTCCTCTTTGCTTTAACTCTTCACTGTAACTCTGTGCCACAACTCTTCACAGGAACTTTGCGACGCAACTCTTCCCCGCAAATCTGCACTGCAACTCTGCGTTGTAACTCGACACCGCAACTTTGCACCGTAACTCGGTACCACAACTCTGCACCGTAACTCGGCACCGCAACTCTGAACCGTAACTCGATACTGCAACTCCTTACCGCAACAGTGCACCGCAACTCGACGCCGCAACTCTTTGCCGCAACTCTGCATTGCAACTCTTCACCGCTGCGCAGAATGATTTTCTTCTGAGAAATCCTGAATCAGCTGAGAACTCCACCCCTACCTAATTTCATAACATTGGACATCCAACACATCACGCCACTGCGATACTTCGTCAAAGCGTAGCCGCGACGCACCGTCACAACGCGTTGTCCCGTCGTAACGTGTCGCTATGACACACTGCCGCAACACATCGCCGCGCTAAAACACGTCGTTGTGACGCACCGTCATAACACGTCGTTGTGAGGCACCGTCACAACACGTCGCTGCGACACAGTGTCACAACGCGTCATCAAGCTACAACGCGTCGCCGGGACGCACTATCGCAACGTGTAGTCACGCTGTAACACGTTGCTGCAACACACCGTCCCAACGCGTCGCCTCGCCGCAACGCGTTGCCCCTACGCACCGCCGCAACACATTACATCATAATGACGCACTATCGCAAGGCGTTAAAGGGCTACAGTATGTCATCACGCTACAACACATCGCCGCGCTACAACATGTCTCCACGACGCACCGTCACAACACGTCGCCCAGCCGCGATGCACTGCTGCAACGCGTAGCACAACGACACACTGCCGCAACGCACCACTGCAACGTGTAGCACCGTTGCATCACGCCGTCGCGTCGTCACGTTGCTGCTTCGCGCTGTCGCGTTCACGCCTCCGCAAAGCATCACCACGTCGCGCCACCCAACGCGTTGCCACGCCGCACCACTGCAACACTACCCTCTCCTTTAGGCCCCTATTTATAGGCTCCAAAAGGGATTTAACAATTAAATGATCATTATTATAGACTTCAAAAAAAAGAAAAAAATTAATATTTGTTATTAAATAGACCTCAAAAAGTAGTGAAAAATTGAATATTTGTTATTAACTAAACTCAAAAAGGAGTGCAAGAATTAAATGTCATAAAAAATAAAATAAAATAAAACGAAAAAAAACTTTTCATCTTGCAAAAAAAAAAATCGAAATTCGGGCTCCCCAACTTTGAATTTCAGGCGGGCGACCCAGCCACCAAAGGCCCAATAAAAAATTTATTATGTCTAAGGCAGGTTCGAACCCGTGACTTTTTTGTACGGAGGAAAGAAACTCAACCAACTGCACTAAATTTTGCTTATTAATATATAAGGATAAAAATTATTCTTATACCAATACTAATAAAATAATATATATTGATGTGTATGCAGGACATAAATGCACCAAATATTGATATTTTCAAACGATAAAAATGGTCTCACCCGAAAATAGATGGGCAATTGATATGACACCAACAAATTTTCATCATCCTTCACAAATTTCCAGACATGACACGAATCCCGAGATGATATTTTGAACAATAAATGTTCAAATCTTGATAAAAAAATCATCTAGAACTTCGATTTCATCGAACTTATAGTCAAACTGACCGACTCAATGAGACATACCTAATGATATAAAAACTAGTAGAATCTGAGTCAAATCAAGCTCAGATCAAGTCATTAAACCACCATTGGAAGATTTTCAGATACATTTGGATGGTCATACAATGTCAACACTAGCAAGCCTATACTCGAATCGAGCATCTCGACAAGAAAAATCCAACGAGCCCAAGATCACAACGACAACGAGCCCAAGATCACTCAATTCTGACATCGTTAAGGCACTCAAATGTCCATTAAACGCCGCATGATAGAAGGAAACACTCTTGACCATCAGATCAAAATGTTTGATATTCCTGCATTAATTGCACTCAGAACACTATAAATAGACCCCCACCCCTCACATAAGGAAGGGGGAAGTCTAGAGAGAGAGCCTGAAGTCTTGAGAAGAAGCTGCAACTCAGCATCACCACCGATCGTCGTCGACCGCCGCCAACCGCCAACGACCACCGATGACCACCGACGACCACCGTTGATCGTCATCGACCACCGCCGACCGTTGTCGACCACCACCGACCGTTGTCGACCTCCGCCAACCGTCATCGACCACCACTAACCACCATCGATCACCACCACCCAGATGCCGTCAGCCGCCGTTGCAACGACGTTGTAATATGAAAATATCACCCTTTACCGTTTGTGGGACAAAGAATTTTTGTAATCATCAATCAATAGTGGATTTCTGCAACTGGGTCAAACCCCGTGGTTTTTCTCTTATGGGTTTTTCACATAAAGCTTCTGGATTCATCCCCGTTTGTTTCTCTTTCATCTGTGTGTATATTAAACTTCCGTAAAACGCTAAGACGATAGTTCTGTCTTCGTTGTTCCATGACCACCATTATCGATCCATCGGGCGGATTCAGGTTCCGTTTGGGGCAGCTTATAAGTGCGGGCAGCGTTTTCAAAATGCCGTCATGCCGTTTGGTTCGCGCTTTTCGCTAGCTTATCCGAAATTACGTTTGGGTTTTTACACTAAACGCAGGCCGTGGGTCGACCCCTGCGGCCAGCCCGCGGGCCGCCGTTTCGGGGTAAAAACTTATTCTAACGCACAAGCTGCCCCAAATAGACCCTCAGTCTTATCTGTCCCATCTGCGGTTTAGCATTGATCCAACACTCCGACATTTCAAGCTCCTCTTCTTCTTCCACAGATCACTCTCAGACAAGCCCCAATCTCCCCCCACAACGCACGTCAGCTACATCACCCGCAACGCCAGCTTCGAAATAAGCAATCCCGATAATAATTTCTTCAAGGTTACGTCAGAACCAGGTTTTTTCACTTCTCCCTACTCCAACCCTAGACCCATTCTTCCCAACGAGCCCGCTACTGAATCCTTCATCTCATTCGGAATGATGCAAGAATTCATAGATAAATGTATAAGCGAAGGCGCCATCATCAACTGCATAGTCCTCCAGCCTGAAGCTATTCCTCTTTCTTACCATTATAGCAGCTCGTACGACCCTTAGTCCGCGCCTCCGTCAGCCATTGCCGCGCTTCCGGACTTCCAATTGACGGAGGAACTTCTTGCTTCCGGCGACACGCAGTGCCCTGTCTGGATTGAACATTTCAAGATCGGGGAGGAGGCAAAGAAGCTGCCATGTGAGCATCTGTATCATAAAAACTGCATTGTAACGTGGCTAGAAAAGTGCAACTCGTGCCCCGTTTGTCGTTTTGAGCTCAAGTCCTGCGATCTGAACAACGAACGACAGAGCGGTGTCGGCGATCCGCAGCCGGCAGTTTCTGGTGCTTTTGGTGCGGCGGGATACAGATGGCAGGGTCCGCCAGAGCGATTTAATATTGAGCTGCGATGGCCGATTGGTTCAGAGAATGGACAGGGAAATAGTGGAAGTGGGATCGTCGACGCTTCAGAACTTGTAAAAGAGGCACTTTTAAAGGTAAGCAAGTTTAATAAAAATTTGAAGAGATTATTGTTAGATTAAATTAAATTATGAAAATATATTAAAGGCTGTGAAAGTCAGAGAGGTTATTTATTGGAGATTATATCAGCATTATACCCTGTAAACAACCTATGACCTACAAATATATAAAAACAGAAGTGCGAAACTTATTTATAGGTTACAAATAGGTTATAGGTAGATTACAGAGAAATTACAAGGAGTATAAAGCGGATATAACTCCTTAGTACCCTCTGAATAGCCTCCCTGACGCGCACAGCGCTGCGTACATCTCACGTATGCAAATTTTTTTAAGATGAGATTTAATTATTTTATATTCAATCAAATAATTCTTAAATATTTTAAATGAATTATATTTAATTATATCACATAGCTAAATAAAATGAAGAGCATTTTGAAAGTTGGTCTGTTTTAACACGCAGGCGGCAAGAGAAAATGGCGACGGGTAAAACGGTTACAGTTACGGGTGTTGGTATCTTGAATTGCCAAAATGTTCATATGCTTAATTGTCCATATCACGATCGTGAATAAATTATTGTCCATATCACTCGTTTATATGTTCGGCTCGTTTAATTTATGATTGATTAAATGAAATTATTCACGATCGATTAATTTCATTAAACCAAAATTACATAAGCAAACCCTCTGAAAAAAAAAATACAATCTACAAAGAAGTTACCAACCCGCTATAGTACTATTGATGAATTAGAACTTGAGGAGCTGCTGCTTTAAGCAGTTATGTTTCTATAGACCATTATGGAAATCAAATGGATAGAAAAAGATTAATAAGTTATTTGAGTAATACAATCATTTCACCAGTTCTCACTCACCGATCGCCCCTAAGCCGATTCCTGCAAATCATCGCCATTATCGTCAAGTAATGGTCTCTGGTTGGATCTCTGAACTGGAGGAACATCATGCTCGCTGGCTTCGTTAAATCGATCGACGGCATGAAGGAAGATACCTGAATATAAATAAACATTTCATATAGTTAGGAGAAACATGTGGCACTACCATAAGATGATGATGATGAACATGCAGACATTCTATAGTATAGGCATTTACATTTATACCAGTTAAATCTTTCTGATCATATAAAAAAAAAATCATTGTTTTACCTTTAAAATCGTGAAATATACATTTTCATGCATAGAAAAAGTGATATGCACTTAAAAATTGAAGTTTATGAGCTAAATATGTAAAAAAATGAGAATCGAGTGCTATGCATGTAAATACTCTTTCGTAATATCGAAGTATATGGTATTTGACACATGCAAATATGGCACGACATGCAGACATATTTAATTAAAAATGAAAAAAGATGAAAGAGCATGGGTGTGATCTGATGAGTGAAATAGTAATATGTGAACAACAAAATCATAAAGAAGTTAAAAGGTCAAATAAGAGACTTTCAATCTTGAAGGACAAATGAAAAATTCCTGAAATAATTTTCATGTTTATTTAAATTTTCCTATTATTAACCATAGGAATATTGAGAATGTGAGGATTAGTTTTGTATTATATTAATAAATGTATTTTTAATGATGGTTATGCTTTTATCATTATTATTATATTTTTTTGTATTTTTTATATGCATTATGTGTTTGTTTCCTCGTGTTCGTATCGATGTATAATATCAGCAAAAAGTTCTTGTCACCTCAAAATTTGAACTCACAAAGCAAATAAAAACCAGAAAAGAAATGAATAAAAAAGAAGCAAATCAACTGATACATTGAGAAACTAAAAAAACAAGTTGCTTTCCAATTTCTCAGGATGCAAGTTGAATAAAAATAAGAATAGACAAAAAAAGAAAAAGGTTATATTAAACATAACAATGTGTGCTTAACAAATGAGGCAGCCATAAGCTTAGAATAAAAATAATGATTAAAGGTTGAAGAAACATACCTACAAACCATATAGCAGAAGCAATGAATAGAATAGATGTCAATATAAGAGCACTACTTCTCCAGCTGTTAATGTGATCCTGCCCCCATCAGCACATATTTCCATGAGGTGAGCAAGCAAGCCAAATATTTTCACTTCAATATCTCACAAAAAGTTCCTCCATTAAAAAAATTCATAAAATGTGAAAACATTAAAGGGGTATTTACATAAATACCACCCAATTCCTATGTATTTAAATTTCCAACACCTAAACTTAGATTTTTGAAATAATACCAGCCAAATATTTCATACCACATTAAAAATAATACTATTTTAGCGTTTAGAAGTGAAATAGAACTTTTCATGCATAGACAAGGTGGAATGTATGTAAATATTGAAGTTTTAAGTGTTATATATGTAAATACGTAGGAACTGAGTGGTATGTATGCAAATATTCCAAAATTAAAACATGCCCTCAAAGCATTAAAATGCAAAACCATGTTAATAAAGCAATACTAAGTTGTGAAGCGCAATTTTTTGCCTGATATAAAAACCTCATTATGTAGCCAGTCATTGGCCATCGGCTATCCTATATTTTTTTGACTGCCTTATATTTTTCCTTTATTAAGGGGGAGGCGCCATCTTATGTTATCATTGATGGAATTAAGTTTGTAATTTTCCACAGCCAAATCATGATGAAATTTACATTGACCACAAATGTATGTAGACATCAGAAAGACCAAAACTGCTATTACATTAATATGACCATATGGAAGAAAGGAACACACACACACACACAGATATAACTATATATATATATATATATATATGTTTGTGTTTCTGTGAGTGTGGGACTAAATAAAATAAACTGACCTGTAAAATTCCAACCAACGGCGACGATGGGACGTCACCAAAAATGTGAATTGAAACAGTTGACATTGCCATAGACAGTGGTCTCAAGCTAGGATTGACGGAATGAAGACAGACATAATTCACAGGAGCCTGCAAGATAAACCAATGTTTATGGCAGATCATGAAGAAATATGATCGCAATTATACACAATATCCTACAAGAAAGCCCATTACAAAGTCGTAAACATATCAGATGGTTCTAATTAACTTTCATAAAAACTATAACCCAAATAGGTTAATCTTACAGCTAATGAAACACAATGATAAATCTATGTAGTTTAAAGAAGAAGCCATCATATATAAATAAAGATGACGAGATGCAATGAACAATATAAGGCGATGCACCCTTTCAATGTCTATTTAATGTGAAACTTTTCATACATTTTTAAAACATTCGAAAAATATTCTCATAAGAAAGTTAATAAAAAAATTATAAGTGAAATGACATACCACAATACATCAAACTAAGAGAAACATAGAAGAGCTACATGAATCCAAATTAGGGGTGATGTTGAGAGTCAAATTATCCAAATTAAGGTGACGTTGAGTCTAATTTGAGCAAGCCAAACAAAATACTAAATATTAGATACTGATCGCTGCAACTCAAGCCAAGTTTGAGTTAAATTGAAAGTGGTTTTTGATTTGATTTAATTAAAGAAAATTAATTTTATAAAATATTTTTTAATTAAAAATCACAATTATATATATATATATATATATATATATCTCAATATGTGTGTGTGTGTGTGTCTGTTACGCAAATATATGTTTATATCATATTGAGTATATTTGGAAGTGAATTGAATTTATTTTGAGTGAACTACCTTAGAGTTGGGGCACGTATATTTTAATTCAAGTGAAGTAAACTTCGTAGATAAGTTCAAGTTTCGGAGATATTATCAGCCTTTAATCTTAATATATAAGAAAAATTAGAAAGTCAAATAGAGAAGAAAAAAATATGATGGCAAGTGGTGGAAAATATACACAGCAAAGGCACCAAACGGTCAAAGAATAAAACCATATATTAACAAGGGTGCAAAACAAGATGTAAAATTTCGTTTCAAAGGACCAGTTAACAGATTCAACAAGGACATCAACCCACAGCGGCTAAAGTTTTTGGTTCATACCTGCGTTGCAAAAACCAGAAGCTCTCCAACACTAAAAAGAGCTATAAATCCATACAAGCTTTTGAAGCAGAAGGCACCAAAGCAAAAACATGCCCCTAGAAAAGTTGCCACAGAGAGAATCTGGCACAACAAGTCTAATTCTGATTAGTAATGGAAAATAAATAATTAATAAAATTAGTAACATCAATAGGAACAAAACTTATTTTAACTAAAGAACCCTAAATTGCAAAATCATGAGAAAACATGTGATTTGAAAGACAAGTATACAGGCATACAAAGAAAGCATTAAGTTTACTTCTTAATCCTTTTAGCCAACAGTAAGAGACTAGTGTGTAAATAACATAGAAAATTGTTGATTGATCAACTTAAACCATAAATTGCAAAAGAACTCTGTACCGTATGATCATACCAAACTATCACATACTCAATATAAAACCTAAAAATGAGGAAAAAAAAAGATATTGACAGCTGATTAGTACAATAGTGGGTGATAAATATACGCTGCCTTCATATGCTATATGTCTGCCGTTCTTAGGTTTAACTCAATAAAAGCAATTCTGAAAAGAATAAGCAACAGCAAAAAAAAAAGGGAAATTTGGCGAATGGGGGTTAAAATAGTCCTACTGGGGTGATAAAGAAGTGTCAAAATAGCCTCCTGACTAGTTACATGGAATTATTTTAGTCTCAGAGTCAATAAAAGGTGCCAAATTAGTTCCCATAATATTTTAATGGGGGTTAAAATAGTCCACCCTGGGGACTATTTCAACCCATATTAAAGGTTTTTGTGACTGATTGCACATTTTATAGACTATAAAACTAAAACAGCTCCTGTAAAGAGTTAGGGGATCATTTTGACGCTTTTCACTTTGGTAAATTCAACAGATGAACTCATCTATGAATTTTCTAGCACAAAAGTGATCCACATGGAGTATACTACGTAATCAACCAGTGGCATATTGCACATGATCAAGGATAATAATATGTCACTTCTAACCTCCTCTAGGTCATTTTAAGCGAAAGCTGTTAAATTTTTCAAATGTTATAGTTCATCAGTCTTCTATTGCTATACATGATGTGCAATTCAACCCAAAATTATAATGTAATAGCTCATCATTTCATGGCTTTTGATTGCATTTTACAGAGAAAACTTCCACGAATCATCATCTAGCATGTAGAAGTAGCAACCTTAAAGGCATTTGAGAGTGTAGACTGTATCCGATCAAGTATGTAACCACCAGCTAAAGTTCCAAAGATTCCGCATACTATTGTTATTCCCCCAAACATCAAATCTGCATTGTTCTGATTCAATCAAAGAAAAGAAGTTTAGAAAGCTCAAGAAGCGCCTGCAATTACTCAGGAAATAACATCAAAGATTGTGTAATAATGAACTTCAAAGAAAACAAACATATTATATATATATA